GTACTCCTCTGAATCAATTACATTCTAAGATATTATGAATCAAACTGTAAGCTTTTCTGTTGATGAAAATGGATAGTATATAAAATAAAAATCACTTTTCTTAGTAATATCAAAAAATTCTATAATTGAATTTACTAATTAAATGTCTATAGCGCATATTTATGGAAGGTGATCAGATTTATATCATTATACAGATATTAACAAATATAAACTGCATAATAAACATATTCTTAAAAATATTTAAAATGACCCTTTGTAATTATTAATGTAAAAAGATATGAAAAAACTACCTTCATTTCTAAAATTTCATTCATTCATGGAAGAATCTAGTTGTTTAACAAATAACTTAATCCATTATTTATAAATTAAAATTTCTGACTGATAAATTAAAAAAAGTAATCTGAAATTTTTAATTTTAATCAGAAATCTAATTTGTACTGAAGTAACACAGACAATAAATATGCAATAAAAATTTTACTACGTCTAAACAAAAATTTACTTTCTGTTCTATGAGTGTAAATTTAATAGACAAAATTTAAACAAAGATTATAACTATAATAATTATGTATGAATGTGAAAATGCAGCAGCTCATTAATTCAAAGCTGTATGAAATAATGATAATATTTTCTATTAAATATTGATCTTTAAAACAAATTATTTTTGCAAAATGTACTCAAATCAGCAAGAATAAAACTTAATAATCAAACTAGTCATATAAATCAACATTTGAATAGGCTGCATATCTGTTATTTATCATCTGATAAACTGCAAAGATCAATATTGTCATTTTTACAATTATAAAAACAATGTGCAATTTATTGAACATTTATCAATAATGTTTATTCACACAGTTAATTTTTTTTAAGTACAAAATTTTAGATTAGCATGATTAAAAAAACCAGCAAACATCTCCTAATGCTGCTTTGTAATTCCAACTGCTACATTCACATTTAATCTTAGAAAGTGCATATAATATATTTACATTTACCATTTTTTTCCTATAAAAAAACTATCCAATTTAATTTCTTATAACTATCTAAATAAAAATAATAATTAATTTCAAAAAATCTGATCACCTTATACAAAACAATATCAAGGACAAGCACAAATTAGAAACAAAAATTCACAAGGAATGTACTTTTTAATATGACATTTCAGAGGAATGCATGCTAGTGTGGTGTGTGTGTGTGTCTGTGTATATAGATATAGATATAATTTTTTTTTTTCTTTTTGCATCAATAGCTAAGAGGATTTTGTGCAAAAAAAGAAATAAGATACACTATATGAAATCTGCACCTTCACTTGTTGCATGACAAAAATTCCTAAATATTGTGAACGATATGAATCATTGTTCTATAGCAATGGTATGTAAATTCAAATACCTGCAATAAAATAAAGATGAATAAGATAGAAAAATAGGAGTTTGTTTCGTTTTCCTTTACATGAATTTTATGTACCTTGATAAAAAGTGAAGAGGGTACAGAGGCTACAATTAAGGCTAAATGCAAGGCTTTTTACTTGGGGGTTCATCAGTGGCCTCCAAACTACTATTGGATACCTCACTATCTTCGCCAATATTCAAGTGTGCATTGTAGATGTTTTTATCAACGGGTTCATTTGAAGAATCATCTTGATCCAATTGTTTCAATGCATCACGTACAGATTTGTCTTTATCTGAATGATTGCTGCTTGACTTTCCGTTTGGAGTTGCATCTTCATCATATTTAGGTAAATCATCGAGAATAGATGGTTTCAGCTCTCTTGCCAAGAAATGTGTCCACAGTGCCAATTCTACTTTATGAGGAGTCCACTTGGTTTCTTTATCTGGAAATTAAATAAAATTAGATTTCAAATAAATCTATTTATTTCTGTTTAAGAGAACAATCTTGAATATTTATACCATGCTCATTTAAACGATCACTACATGCTTTTATTTGTGCAGTATAGTTCACATATTCTGCTAAAGTATAATCTGTAGTTTCAATTCCTGGAGTAGACAACATACTTTCATCAGCCATGAATGGAGCATGTTCCGGATAACCAGCTGCTAGAATTGCTAATGTATGGAGGAAAAAAAAAAATTCAATATAAAAATTTATTTTTTCAGAACTGAAAGTGTAAATTTCAATTATTTATTAAATAATTTGTAATGAAAAACTTACCTGATGCAGATGCAGGACCAATACCTTTTAAACAAGTAAGTGCATTTATAGCTTTAGTGATATTTGGAACTTTTCTGAAAGCTTTCTTGCTTGCCTTCAATACTGCAGTTTCTGTATTTATGCGCACCAAGTCCATGAGACAAGGACGGAATTTTCCTCTCTAATAGTTAATTTTATTATTATATTAAACTGTACTTAAACCCCATAAAATAATACACAAAAATATTATATACATATATATATATAGGATGTCATGTAACTGGTGTATAAATGGGCAGGTGACAATTCTAAATGAAATACTGAATTGAAAATATAGAATAAAATTTTTCACGAGGCTTTGTTTCCAAGAAAAATAGCTTTGAAAGTTTATCAAGTATGAATGATCAAGATTCAACTTAATGGATGTTTCTGTATGCTATTTTTATTATTGAGTGTTTTGAAAGCAATTCTGTTACTTGATATATTTGCATACATTGTTGATGTTATGTTTTTTTATATCATTCTTATTCTTCTCTTATGCTTTTGCAATCAAATTCTTAGTTTCTATCATAGTGCCAATATGACTACATACAGCAATTAAAATGTGCTGAGTGCATGTGACAGCAGTGCTTCTGCTGCTGCTAATTATTACAAAATACAGATATCCTAATCTTCAATATCTCACTAGGAGAGTTATTCAGAGAGCAGAGTGAACTCTCATAAAACACAGTTCTTTTGAACCAATTTGTTAACATGGGAGTCACATCTGATGACTCAACTTGAATGTTAATAGACAGAATTTATATGAAATCTGATGAATTGAATCTTTATCATGTACTTGATAAACTTTCAAAGACATTTTTCTTAGAAACAAATCCTCACAAGAAAAAATTTTACTCTGTTTTCAATTCAGTATGTCAAGTAGAATCACCACCTTCCCATTTGTATCACCAGTTACAAAACATGGTTTAACTCTGAATAGATGAATGATTTTATATATATTGATATATATAAAATTGTTCATCTATACAGTAAGGAGGAATTTTGTTTCAAGTTCTACTCCAGGAAATTATTTTCTTCCAACAATTCTAAATTAAATTTATTATAATTATTAAAATTATCATGTGATGATGGCATAACTACCTATCTCTTGTCAAATTATTTCAAATCAAATTCTTGAAATTAGCTCAACAGTACATGATTTGTTTGGTTTGGCTTTAATTAATAATCAACTTTTTGATTTGTATGTTTATATATATTATTTTATCTGGGATTCAATTAACTTTTAAAATCATCCTAAGTGACAAAAAAGACTTATCATCATTCCATAATATTAAATGTTTATCAAGAATTTATTTTCAAATATTTTCAAAACAGTGTCTATGGTGAGCTAGGATTTCAAAGTCCCAATCAATCTTACATTGTATAACATTTTAATTCTATTAGAATTTTGAATATCAACAGCATATAAAAAAATCAAATAGATACCAAACTGAGTAACAAGAAAACTACACAAGAATGTTCATTATATTTTTTTTTATTATCGAACTTTATAAATTAGAGCACTATATTGATTTCAAAATTTATCTGACGTTAAAAATACATTGAAAAAACTAAAATTGTCTTCATATCTTTATCACTTACAATCACCAGGAACAAGTAGTCTTTCTTTACCAAGAAAACCTTTTATTAGAGGCTATTCCTCTTAAAATATGCAAAGTAGTTTTAAAAAAAATTCTTAATAAGAATTCCAAAAATTAAAAATACATTGAAGAAACTAAACATATCATATCAGCAGTTTGCTATAGCAGTTTTACATATCAGCAGTTTGCTATAACTTCTTAAATCTCATATATCATTAAATATTAAGAGTTAACAATGAAAATAGTGAGGAAAACCAATGCATATTTTATAAAATTTGGTAAAATGAAAATAAAAATATCCCCCTCTCTCTTTTGGAAGACATAAAAGTATTAAAATACACAAAATTATTACACTGACATAAATTTATCAGATTTGAAATACATTATTATTTTAAAATGTTCCAAATAGCCCAAAAAAGCTTGTGGTTTCTGACAATGAAATCTAGGTAAAATTTTAAGTACACTTTATTTTATTCAGCTGTGATGATAATTTTAATAAGTTGTTTATTTTTCTTATAATTTGAAACTGTGTCGTATAATTTCTTTGTTTCTCAAACACAAATAAGTGTCACAAATTACAACACTTGGCTTTTTACCATCTTTATTCAGTTGATACAAGATGAATAAAGATGGTAAAACACCAAGTGTTGTAATTTGTGACACTTATTTGTGTTTGAGAAACAAAGTTGTTTATTGTTATTAAATTTATATAAGTATAATACTAATGCTAACATTTATATAATTATAAATATAATAAATTTAGATCATAACTATTTGCTATTGTGCATGCACTTACTTTGTTATTTAAAAATGTGTTTTAGTCTTTTACATTCAGTATTTGTGTATTGAAGCTAAAATGTGAAGTATATAATGCTCAAGATTACAATTTAAAGTCTTTCATCATTTTATCAAAAAGGATTATAACAGAACTAGAAGTGCAGAACATGTCCAACTGCTCAATTGGGGTTTTGAGAGAAATTGAAACAGTCTTGGGAAAATTTGTGATAGAAAATCAATATTACAGCAACAGCTGCAAATAAAAACAAGACTGACCCAGAAGACTGTCAGCTCATACAGATAGTTAAGTTATACAAACATCTAAGAGAAATTCATATGGAAATCACTACAGCATCTGTCCAGCAGATTTATTTCAGACAAAATCTTTCAAAGATGAAATAAACCCCATGAAAAGGTCAAGAGTATACCAAATACCAATGAGAGAAGGTTGGACAGCAAGATGGAGTATATAGATGCAACATTCTGATCACTTATGGCAAGAATCAAAGAACACTGGTCCAAAGAATGGAAAGACAAATGGCCATAGCAGTAACTGCAATGGAGCTGGAAATAGAGGTAATTGAAAGTGGCTAAAATCATAAAACCTACTTATTGCATTGTCAATTTAAGACAAGGAAGAGAGAGAGATTTAGAAGTCTGTGTTGAGAAGCAGATCCATAAACTTTAAAAGTCATGTGTAATCAGTGTATTTTTATTTTGTGTTATTTGTTTTAATTCTTGTGTACATTGAAGTGTTATTTTGTTACTGTAAAATTCAGTGATGGAGTGATAAAACATATTTTAAAAGCTATCAAAACCATACAAAAATTTCTGCATTGCAGAAATTTTTGTATGGTTCAAACTCTGAATTCCATTCAAGATTTGATTGTCTCAAGTTGAAAGATTAAAAGATAATCTTTCAACTTGTAAAGTTAAAAATGTAGTTCATTAAAATATTTTTACTGGTTTTATGGTGTCTTGAACTCTCATTACAATATTAGTTTGTGTTGATAAACATAAAAATATCATTGCATTAAAAAGAATTAATTAATAATGATGAGAAAGTCAAACTTTAAAAAAATTTTTGACTATCTTTCTGCAAAAAATTGTTACATTTCTTAAATAATTTTTCAGAAAAAAACTGCCCATTATGCCCCATATGATGACCATTGTCATCATAAATCAATTGTGTATTTTTGGATGTCAAAAAGTCCATTATTGTCCCATGCTAAAAATAGATTATTTATGGCCTCAGTGATGATATCAATTTTATTTCTATTAATCAATGTATTATGTCAAGTTTATATAATTGTATATGTTAACATATGATGATGAACTATGTTTAAAGAGCATGTTTAAAGTGTTCTTTTAATTAAAAAATTTACAATAATGTGTGTTTAGTGTTTGTGTCAAATCACACAGTAATCCTATTGAATTATTTATAAGATTTAATTTGAATTTCCCAAACTATATAGTAATAATTATTAATTCATTAGTAAATTGTTGTTTTATTTTGTGGAATAATTTTTGAGGAAATTGTGTGTATGTTCTTGGAAAGTTTTGGTCCTGAAAATTTTCTGCACCTCTGAAAAGAACTAGTGTCACTCAACGTGCTACATGTTACATCAAAAATGAGTAGACTTAGTAGCTCCATAATAGATAACAATATATTAATGAAAGACTTTGTATTAATATAAAAAGACAAAAGATATCTACAAATTCATAACATTGTTTCTTTGATTTTAATTATTGTAATG